GCTGGGACAAGGGGGGGGGAGAATCCCAGCTCCAATGCCTCTCACTCCTGGCCTGCAGTGCTCTCCTGCTACCCCACATTGCTCTTCACTCCTGATCCACAGCCCCCACAAATTGGGTGTGGCCTTGGCTCCAGCTCTGGCTCTGCCTGACTGCGGATTTTTGCTGCCCTGTCATTGTGGTTTTGGACAGGCCCCAGCTTGGTCTCTTGCCCAGCCCCAGCCAAAGGGGCCCTGGCCAAGCCCTGGTGCCTGCCTGATGTGTGGGGGAAGGCAGTAACATACAGAGGGGACCCCACATCATAGAGACGACCCTGCATGGCCCCTCACTTCTGACCCACAGCCCCTTCCCTAGCCCCCTGCCCCAGGTGGTAACACCCCCTGGTGACCATTGGGCTTGAGGCACTTTGGGATTGTTGGCCCCCTCCCCACCTGGGACCTGGTGGGGGTGGGAGAAGGGGCAACAGAGCCGTGTCCCGTCTGATTAATCAGATCAAATTAATCTAGGCATATGCAGAGTAGATACTGCATGTTGGATAGAGGCAAACAGACATGATGGGCCCGTAGGGCATGGGCCCAGGGTGTGGGATTAGCACCCTAGAGCCAGAGGGGACAGGAGCCAGTATGCAAATAACAGTAGTATATGCAAATTGGCACCCCCATTGCCCAATGGATTTGCATTGCAGAGCCAGGCAATCAGGTAGGCAAATCAGCTTAATTGTGCAAAACAATGGGCTCCCGTGCCCTCCCCCAACTATGCAAATAACATGCAGATCAGGCGAGATAATGGTCCATGCAATTAAATTGGCCACGCCCATGCAAATGAAAAGCCGATACGTAAATTAATGCAAAGAACCATCAAGGGAGGGGCACGTGACATGGTACAGATTAAGGCCAGGGGTGTCAATCGGGGGTACGCGTACCCCTCGTGGTACCTGGACCACTCCTAGGGGGTACGCTGGGCGGGCGCGGACAGCACCGCCACCTCCCTGGAGCAGGGCCGGGGCGGGATGAAAGCAGTGGCGCTCCTCTGCCGGAAGGGGAAGCTTGCACGGAGCAGCGGCCGCCGCCACCCACCAGCCCAGTGAGCTTCTCCTCCCTACAAAAGGGCGCCACTGCCTTCACCCTGCCCCTGCCCTGCTCCTGGGAGGAGGCGGCGGCGCTTCATCCCCGCCTCCCTGTTCAGCGCCCGGCCGCACGCTACCCATTCCCTCCCCCCGCTCAGCCTTTCTGCCGCCAGGGGTACTTAAACTAAAAAAGTTTGAAACCCGCTGGATTAAGCAGTTTCCATCCAATCAGCCTGCAGAGATTTCCACGTAACTGTTGAAGTACTGGCACTAGCTAAAATGTCGCCACAAACAGCATTTTCGTCAGCCACTTACGCATGCGTACGTTCCCGCTCCCCTCCCCCGTACCCTCTTGACACTGCGCCCGCACGATATCCTCTCCGCACAAAATGGTGGCAAGCCGCAGCGCACGCGCTCTTCCCTTCCCGCTTGACCGGCCAGAGCGGCGCGCGGGCCGCCCCACCATTGGCTGGAGGACCGCGCCTCAACGGCTCCCTTGTCGAAGGTGGCCGGAAATGGGCGGGCTTGTCTATAAAAGCGCCGCGCAGGCGCCTGTCCTCTCTTTTTTCTGCACGGTGAGGTAAGGTGTGATAAAGCGGCGGCAAGGGTGAGCTCGGGGTAGGCCTGGGGGGGTCTCGAGGTCGCTCCCCTTACTTCTACAGGCTGGTGACCCCGCTGCGGGGCTTACCCCTCCGCTACCCCCCGGGAGAAGGGGCTCGGCTCCTCCGCCGCCCTGGGCCCTCCAGCCCCCCAGCTCAGCTCCTCGCTTCTCGGGGGCCCTGGCGGGGGGGAATCCTGAGTACTCATAGACGACCCCCCGCTATTGCGATGCCAGGGGCTTTGCTCCCTCTCCCCAAGAACTTACTCCACGTTTCTCGTACGGGCTTCTTTAGGTCCCCGTGTCCGCCTTGTCCCCGCTGGGATCCCAGAGCTTCCATTTGCTGTGTAGGTGCTTTTGTAGTCCCTGGCGTCCCCTGCCTTGTAACAGCTGCGGAGCTCCCAGTTGCCACCCACCCGCTGGAGTAGCAGAGCTCTCTCCACCCTGTAGACGTGCCCTGTGTGGCTGTCTGCCCCCCCAGCCCCCTCCGTTGGGGGATCCCTGCCCCCCCCATCTGTAGGCACTTCCTATAAGCCCTCATGCTTCACCTCTATTCCTGTGGGGAGAGCAAGGCTCTCCCTTGTCCTGTAGAGACTTTCTCTAGACTCCCATGTTTCCACCCCATTCGGGTGCACTCAACCACCCTTCTCATCCTGGTAATAATTCTTCTCTGCACCCATGATCCACCCCCTTGTGTGCACCCACCCTTCTGGCAGGTTCAGTGTTCTGACTGTTCCCATGTTCTTCTTTTGTAGCTTTGTCATCTCTGAGCAGCCATGGGCCGCCGCCCTGCCCGCTGGTGGGTGTTCTCCAGCTTTTCCTTGTGGAGGACTGGGGTGGTGGTAAGGGGAGGACCTTGGGTAGATTAAGGGGCAGCAGGGAATGACTGGTGGAGGTCTCTGGGGAGTTCTTGAGGGTGCCCCTAGGTGGGGATGGGGGAGGAAATTTGGGAAGAGAAACAGCTCGCTCTGCCCCACCTCTCTAGACTGGACCCCTTTCATATCTGTAGTAGTGACATCACCAGATGGCTATGTAATGATGTCATCTGAAAGCAGTTCCTGCCCTTCCCCACTTCCACAGGGAAATAGGGGGCTAGGTCTCCCCATATCACTTCCCCATATTAAATTGGGCCAGTCCTCACTGGGGGAAGGAACAGGGCACAGACCTGCTGGGGGGGCGACTGCCTGGCTGGGGGGGGGGGGGTGTCTCTAGCCCACTGTCGGGTTTCTTTTGGGAGGGGCGACTGCTAATGTCTAAGCTGTGCTCCGTCAGCCAGAAAGGAAAGGGGCCTGGGAGGCTGTGATGTGTCTGTCTTTCTCCCCATCCCCCCCCTTCTTGGGGAGAGGAGGTTGCTGTGGCAGGAAGTATTTTTAAGGTGTTCTTTAGGATTTGGGGGCTGTGGGTGGGTCAGTGTCAACCCCTTACCCATTCCCTGAAATCTGTCCCTCAGCTACAGATACTGCAAGAACAAGCCGTACCCCAAGTCCCGCTTCTGCCGTGGCGTCCCAGGTAAGTGCCTCCACTCCCAGGCTATTGGTGGAGAGGGTTGTGGGGAGTCTGGGTGGGGCCTGCTCAGCTCCCTTTGCGGGGACAATGACGCATACCAGGTCTTTCCTTTTAAAGGGGGGGGGGGGTTGAAGTGGGGTGGGGGGTGTTCTGGTAGCTCTGGCTCTGCCCTTTGTCTCTCTTTCCACCCCCCCACCCCACCCCTTCAACCCTGGGGTGGGAGTTAAAGATCCCGTTCTCCTGCAGCCAATTAAGCCGACCGGCCCCTCTCCCCTGTGGGGGCCCGGTGTGCACTGGTTGCAGACAGCAAAGCTCCCCACGGTGGTGTATGTGTCCTGCTTCCCCACAGCAGGGTGCTTGAAGGGACTGCGGGGACATGGATGTGACCAGGGCTGGGGGGGAACATCTCTGACCTCCCCTCCCCATCAGGTTCATGTCCCTCCTCTGGTCTTAGAGGGGGGTGTCTGGGGGGGTCCTGATCCCTTCCCCTCCCTGGGCAGATGCGAAGATCCGGATCTTTGACCTGGGCCGTAAGAAGGCGAAGGTGGACGAGTTCCCACTGTGTGGACACATGGTGTCTGATGAGTATGAGCAGCTCTCCTCTGAAGGTGGGCACTGTGGGCCTTGTTGGTGGGGGGAGGTGGGATTGGGGGGGCCACTTCTGATGAAGGGAGAAGGGGTATGTTTATATTGATGGTGGTGAGGTTCCTCATTGATTCTGAACCTCTACCCCTCCCCACCAATGTCAGGACCAGCCCTGGCAGCTAGGGGTCCACCAGAGCCTGGCATCTGAAGCCCTTTATTGTCCCCACTTGACTGCTGTCTCCAAGATGAGATTTTGGGGGGTGGTCTTGGAGGTCACAGAGTCCTGTGGAGTTATGGTGGGGGAGAGGCTTGTGTAGCTGGGGGGCAAGGTCTGGCTAAGGAGGGTCTGTCCTGTGGGGGAAGAGGAGATGCAGGGTCTGGGGTGAGTCCCCTGGATTGTGTCCCCCACACCTCCAATTGCCCCCCCACCTTGTTCTGCCCCCCCCAGCACTGGAGGCAGCACGGATCTGTGCCAACAAGTACATGGTGAAGAGCTGTGGCAAGGATGGGTTCCACATCCGTGTACGGCTGCACCCCTTCCATGTCATCCGCATCAACAAGATGCTGTCCTGTGCTGGTGCTGACCGGTGAGCCCTGAAAGTGGGGGGCTCTGTTCAGCCTGGGGCTTCATGCTGGTAGTACTGAGCTGGGGGCCGGCTTGAGAAACTTGATGGGGGGTGGTGTCCCCTTGTTCTCAGCCCTACAGGCAGGAGGTGGTAAGGGCTGGGAGAGACTAGGGAGGGTTTAGGGAGTGTTGGTCTTCTCTCCCCAAGGCTGCAGAGTGGTGGGAGGTCATAGGGAAAGCTGTAGGGGTTTCATGCATGTCTGTTCTTGCCCCATATCTCAACCCCCCCATCTTCCTCCTCGTAGGCTGCAGACAGGCATGCGGGGGGCATTTGGGAAGCCGCAGGGCACAGTGGCGCGGGTGCACATTGGCCAGGTGATCATGTCCATTCGCACCAAGGCGCAAAACAAGGAGCACGTCGTGGAGGCACTGCGGCGTGCCAAGTTCAAGTTCCCTGGCCGCCAGAAGGTATGGGGGGTGTGGGTTGGGAGGGGGCCACCATCGTTCTCATTGCCCAGATCCACATCTCAAAGAAGTGGGGCTTCACCAAGTTCAATGCTGACCAGTTTGAGGACATGGTGGCCCAGAAGCGCCTGGTGCCTGATGGCTGTGGAGTCAAGTACATCCCAGGGCGTGGGCCCCTGGACAAGTGGCGAGCGTTGCATGCTGCCTGAAATCTGTCATGTCATATATTCCTCCCCCCCCGCCAACACTGGGGCTCCCCATAATAAATGCTTTGGCCTCTCAACACCCCTGTCTGCCTCTGCTTGTGGGGTGGGGATCTGGACCTGTCTCTCAATCCAGATTAACAGAGTGGGGTGGGGTGGTCCATTTTAGATTGGCCCTCTGCTTCCCTCCACCTTGGCAGGGAGCCAAGGCCTGGGAGGATATCAATCTCTTTCCTCACTAGAATCCAGGATTTGTTGCCTCTAGAATCTGATCCAGGTTAGTCTTCCCTTTTGTGTGTCTACATATAATCCTGGGTGTCACCTAAAATCCAAATGCCCCTCTTAATCCAGATTTGCCCCAATGCTGTTTGCCTCCTTAATCCTAGTGCTACCCCCTTAATCTAGGTGCCCCCCTTAATCCTGATGCCTTTAGGCCAGGTTGTCCTAATCCAGGGGTCAGCAAAATAATGGCCCACCAAGCCATTCTATCTGGTCTGCGGGGCACCTAAAAAGTTCAGAAAACTTAATATTTATCTGCTCCTGGTTGCCTGTCAAAGATGACAGGAGTCATGGGCAGTAGGACCCATGAGCAAGGCTAGCCCAGCCTCCCAGCCAGAAGCCTGTTTGCTGCAGCTTTTACTGCTTCCCCGTGTGCCCACTGGCTGCTTCTGACACCAGGTGGCCTCCGGCTGCATCACTGGACCGCATGAGCACTGGGCTGTGCTGGTACCCCAGGGCCACGAGTGCGAGTGTGAATGTGAGGGAGGGAGGGAGGGGGAGAAGTGTGAGTGTTCACAGGGTGAGTCCCACAAGCACACTCCACCATACACAGAATCAGGGCTGGAAGGGACCCCAAAGGATCATTGGGTCCACCTCCCTGCATGAGCAGGAAAGACATCTGTGGTCAGGTGACCCTAGTTAGATGATGGTCTAGTCTTCTCTTGAAGACCTCCTAAGGTAGGTGATTGCACCTCCTCTGAGGGGAACTTGTTCCATAGTCTGGACATCCTAGTTGCAAAGAAGTTTTTTCCTAATGTTCAGTCTGAAACTAGAAACAATGGCCACAAGCTCCTGGAAGATGGTTTTCCCTCAACGTACCCTGTTGAGCCAGTTATTCACCCAAGCCCCTGATATACGCCTCTGATGTGGCAGTAAGCTGTAATTGGGCCCCCTCTCAGCATTCTTAAGGCTGAAGAGTCTGAGATCCCTCAGCCTCTCATCGCTTGCCATGCAAGTTTTTTCTGATCATACGGGTGGCCCTTTGGATTCTCTCGAGCTTTAGCACAACCTTTTGAAGCCCAGAACTGGCCGCAGTACTCCAGGTGCGGCTGCACCAATGCTGAGTAAAGCAGGAGAATCACTTCTTTCTTTGGTTTTACTGGAGATGCATGCCAGAGTTTTATTGGCCCTAGCACTAACTGTTGCACTGCCAGCTCGTATTCATGCTGGGATCTATTGTTACCTGCAGATCCCTTTTAATTTGTAGTGCTGGTCAGTTTAGCATTGCCCAGCCTGTAGGTATGCTGTGGAGTTTTCCTTCCTAGATGCAGCACTTTGCATTTCTCTATGTTGAACCTCATCTGGTTCCATTCTGCCCAACATGCTAGTCTGTCTAGGTCTGTTTGTATCTGTAGCCTATCTGCAGGTATGTCTGTGCTGTCACAACCCAAAGTTGTGGTTTTTCTTGTTTGTGTGTGCTTCGGCATCGCTAAATCATGTTCCCGCCAAATTGCAGCTCTTTTGCACGGTGGAGTGGTCTGCTGCAACAGAGAACCCGCGTGCAGGAGCTTTTCCCGCCAGTTCTGTAGCTTTCTTTGCGTAGTACATTTCTTTTGCATTATAGTAGTGTGCGATGCAAGGAGTCCCTGCCATTTGTATTAGGATTCGCGCCACATTATTGGCCAGTCTTAATGTAGGCACACGTGGCGGCTAGCTATTGGCTTGCTAGCCGTACAAAAGGCTTGGGTGGTTTCCGCCCAAATCGGAGAGAGAAAAAGAAAGCACGTGGAGTTCGGGAAAGGAGCGTGAGGATCTCTAAGCGCTGCTGATCCATACGAACCCAGCTTTTTCCTTAAGGCAACAGAAGTTTAATTTATCGAACCCACGGAGCTTCAACAACTCCGCGGGACTTATTTACCGTCCCCTTGGAGCCTTAACGACTCCGAGGCAACTAACATCTAGCCTCTCCCCGTCGCCGGTTGCAGCCCAGACGTATCCCTATCCTAAGGACCCAATTGTCGAGCCCACAGAGTTTAACAGCTCCGGGGGACCTGGGAACCGAGTAACACTCACGGAGATGCAGCTGCTCCGTGGGAACGAATTCTTGAACCCCGCGGAGACTGAATCACTCCGGGGTCAAGGAACCGAGTGTATTAGAGTCCTCCACCGAGAACTCAAGTGGAGCTGAGCCTGGAAAGCTGACCAGCCTACACCGCGACCACCTTGGGTGTAAGTAAATAATCTTTTCAATCAACCATTACACCTCCGTGACTGATTCTAGCTAGAACGTGTCATACCGCACCGCGGTCTCTTCCAACCCCGTGTACCCGGGCTACCGGCCACAGCCTGTGTACACACAAAGACAGGTCCCCGGCTCGCACATGGCAACCCAAATGGGATCGGGAGAGAGCTCGCACATGGAGACCCAGGCGAGATCGGAAGTCGGCCCGCACATGCGCAACCCCATATCTTGGTGTTGTTTGCAAACTTGGCCAATGGGCTTTTCACTCCCTCATCCAGGTTGTTGATTAAGATGTTGAACAGCCCTGGGCCAAGTACCAACCCCTGAGGTATGCCACTGCCCACATCTCGCCAGGACAACACCAATCCATTCATTTGAACTCGGCATCCTACCCCGCATGTTTTGCACCCGCTTGACGATCCTCCCGTTGAGCCCAATATCTTCCAGTTTTCTGATCAATACCTTGTAGGATACCAGGTCAAAGGTGTTCTGGAAGTCGAGGTATATGATGTCAACTGCTTTTCTCCAGGTGACAAGTCACCTGATCGTAGAAAGAAATGAGGTTGGTCAGATGAGATCTGCCTGCGACGAAGCCATGCTGGCTGTCATTCACTATAATGCCTTCTGCAAGTTTGTCACACAGCCTCTTTGAATGTTTCTAGGATTTTCCCTGGAATAGAAGTTAAGCTAATAGGCCTGTAGTTTCCCGGGTCCTCATGCTTCCCCTTCTTGAAGATGGGCAAAACATTGGTCCTCTTCCAGTCCTCTCTGATTTCTCCAGAGGCCTGTGATTTTTTTTTTAAAGACTTTTGCCAGGGGCTCTGCAATTACTTTGGCCAGCTCTTGCAGAACTCTTGGGTGGAGTTCATCTGGTCCTGCTGATTTATATACATCTAATATCTTTAATTGATCATACACCAGTTCTGTGGCAGTGGTGGGAATGGTGTAAATCCCGCCCTGCTCATTCTGTGCCCTACCTGGCGTGTTGTTCCCCTTTGGTCTTGTGAAAAACTGAGGCAAAGTAGTCATATAGGAGTTCCACTTTTTCTGGAGTGGTAATGACCGGGTATCCTGAGGCATTGAGCAGTGGCCCCACACTCCCATAAGTTTTCCTCTTACTCCCTATGTAGCTAAAGAAGGACTTCTTGTCCTTGATCCTTGTAGCTAGTTCTAGTTTGGTTTCTGGCTTAGCGTGCCTAATCTGGTTTCTACAAGTGCAGGCCATTGTCAAGTAGTTTTCCTTAGAGGCTGTCCCACGCTTCCATTGTTTGGATGCCTCTTCCTTTTTCTGTAAGAGGGCTGCAACTTCCCTGCTTAGCCAAGAGGGTTTTTTTTTACTCTTCTGCTACTTTTTCTTCATAAGGAAATGGATTTTTCTCTAAGCCTTAACGATTGTGTCCTTAAGGAATGACCATTCTTCTCGTTTACTTGTGGTCCCTGTTCTCAGGACATTCTCTACCAGTGACCTGAGCTTATTAAAATTTTGTGTTTTTGAAGTCTAAGACTTCGAGCTTAGTATCTGTTTTGTCAGCCTTGCGACGGACCGTAAATGTAATGATTTCATGGTCGCTGTCACCTAGGCTACTCTCTGTGTGTGATCAATCTGAGCTGGCTGAACTTCCTCCCAGGAGATGTCTGGGTAGTTGAAGTCACCCATGACAACCATGTCCTGTGCACGTGTGGCCTCCGTTAGTTCAGGGGCAAATGCTAGATCAAGTTATTCACCATGGTTAGGTGGCCTGTAGTATATACCTAGTCAGGCCTCTCTCGCTGCACCTCCTCCAGAGCTTGACCCAGAGGTTTTCAAGCTGTTCTTCTTTGGGGTTGATATTGGCCTGTAAGAAAGTGTACTGCTCTTTCACGTAGAGGGTAACGCCTCCACCTCTCTTCCCTACCCGATCCCTTCTGTGAAGAACATAGCCCGTTGTGAGAGGAGTCCCACCAGGTCTCTGTGATCCCTACTAGATTGTAGTGCCCAGTGGAAAGCAGGAGGACTAGTTCCTCCTGCTTGTTCTCCATGCTTCTGGCATTGGTGTACAGGCACCTAAGTCCTTCTACTGAGGTCACTGGCTGCTTGTCGCGTTGAAGGGGAGCTGTTTTCTCAGCTCCTGTAAGAGTGGCTTACTTGTTTTCATTGTCAATGGAGCTTTCCTGTATATTGGTACCCAGGTGGGCTCCAGTTGGCATTTCCCCATCCCCTGTGATCTTGGTTTAAAGCCCTATCTAAGAGACTGGCCATCCTGGCCGAGAAAAGAGACTTACCTTCCATGTGAGGTGGATGCCGTCTCTCCCCAGGAGTCCTCTGTCCTTGAAGTGGGCGCCATGGTCGTAGAAGCTGAATCCTTCTCAGTGGCACCACTGTCGGAGATGCTGGTTCACCTCATCCTTGTCTCCTTGGACTATGTCTTGCAACAGGGAGCACAGAGGAAAAAACTACTTGAGTCCCTGATCCTTTAAGCCCAGCTCCCAGAGTCTTGTAGTCACTCATGACACGGTCTGGATTGCTCCTGACTGTATCATTTGTTCCCACATGCATAAGGAGCATGGGGTAGTAATCTTTGGGCTGGACAAGCCTGGGGATCCTCTCTGTGAGATCATGGATCCATGCCCCAGGGAGACAGATCTCCTGTGCTGTGGGATCCAGGCAGCAAGTGGCTCCCTCTGCTCCTCTCAGCAGGGAGTTGCCTACTATGATTACCCAATGTCTTTTCCTGTTGCTTGCAGCCTGCCTGGTGGTAGCTGTGGATGCAGTGTCTGTTGCTGCACTCACTCCCAGCAATGCCAGGGCCCCAAATCAGTTCCCCAGCTGTACTGGAGGAGTTATTCCAGCAGTGCAAGGTTTATTTCTGCATCATCTAGAACCAGAGGTGACTGTCTTCCATCTGTCTGTGTCAGGTCCCTCTTGTGTTGCCATCCCACCATTTGAGCAATCCTGCAAAGAGTAGAAGTACCCGTCAATCTCATCCTCAGTGGCTGTGATTCCATGCAGTCTGCTAACCTGGAGTTCTCTCACCTGCCCCTCTGGGGCCTCAATATGGGCCCATGTGGAACAGGTGAGAGGACCTGCCAGGCAAACTTTACAGCCCTCCCCATCTTTGCACTGTCATACATGCAGACTCCCACACCCCCTCTCACCCTAGCCACCCTCCCCCCGCCACATGGCCCACCACAAATCTCGCACTCACCCTCGCACTACAAACCTATACCCACCCTCTATGACCTCCACCCTGCACAGTATACAGGAGTAAGACATTTTAAGCTATTGTGCGATCACCTCTGTGTACATGACACAAACGCGTGTAAATCAGGATAAAAAATGTTTTGGAAATTAATTAATGTTGTAGACTTTTGGAATACAATTTGGTGTTTTTCTAGTTCTGAGATGGTAAGGGGTTTTACTGAAAGGAGTGTTTCTGGGGGTAAGGGGAGGGACTTCTTGTTGCAAAGGTTGGGGGTTAGGGGGGGTGGGACTTCTAGTCCCGAAATGGTGATCAGCAGGCAGGGCACGTGTCAAGGGGTGGGGCACCTATGTGGCCCTTGACATCTTGCCAAAACTCAGTAAGTAGCCCTCCACCTGAAATAATTGTGCACCCTTGCCCTAACCCCACTAATCCCATTGCCATCCTCAATCCCTATGCCTTTTAGTCAAGAATATCCTAATCTTGATGATAGGCAGACAAGGTTCCTTGGGTGAATTTGATATCTTTTATTAGACCAACCCAAATAGTTGGAGAATAGTTATTAAGCAAACTTTCGGGTTCAAAAACCCTTCGTCAGGCTAAGGAAGTTTCAGCAGGTGCTGTGTGCTCTTCCTGGATGGAATGAAAAGTAAAGAAGCCAGAGAATGGGCTGGGGAGTCAGCTGCCCCTGGCTTCTTTACTTTTCATTCCATCCAGGAAGAGCACACAGCACCTGCTGAAACTTCCTTAGCCTGACGAAGGGTTTTTGAACCCGAAAGCTTGCTTAATAACTATTCTCCAACTATTTGGGTTGGTCTAATAAAAGATATCAAATTCACCCAAGGAACCTTGTCTGCCTGTGTCCTTAGACCAACACGGCTGCAACCCTAATCTTGATGATGTTCTTAATTCTGCCAATCTCTTAATCGACTTGCCCCTCTTACAGACATCTGGATTAACATAAACAGGAGCAATTCAGACTGCTGCCTTTAGGTTTCCCTACTCCAGGTGCCCCCTTTTAATCCTGATACTCTCAACACAGACTGCCACTTGTAATCTGGTTTCCCCTAATCCTGATGCCCCCTACAATCCAATCTTTAGTTGAGGTTGTTTTAATGCTGATCCTCTCCCTTAATCCAGGTTGTCATAAACCTGATTACCACCTTTTAATCCCAGTACCCTAAATGCAGATTTCCACCCATAATCCTGTTGCCTTCAGTCCACAGTGTGACCTTCCTTGAACTGCCATCCCTACTCCTAATGTCCCCTTTAATTCATTTTCCCTTGATCCCAGTTTCCCATTCCACATGTCCTCTATGCCTATGGTGATGTCACAGCCTGCAATTAAACCAATTAGGTGATGAATGAATGACCCGTGGTTTCAGAGGAGGGTTACACGTGCTGTATTTTTCACATATAAGGTACAAACATGCATCTACTCCCAGAGAGGTATGCTTGTAATTCTATATGGGCACACGGATATTTCAGGCATGAGCATGTTTTTCAGCACGGAGTTCCAGGCACATGTACATATACTGTAGGTGTATATTCATCCAGGCACTGGGCACATAGGCATTCCAGGCACACAAGTGTGGGCTCCCTACAGGTATTTCTGGTGGGTGTGTGTTCTCTGCTTCATATCCTCCAGGGTCTTCATTGCCCTGGTCTGAGACCTGGGGCAGATGTCACAGCCTCTTCCCCAGGGTAGACCAACTTGTGGGGAGCCTGGGACCCTGGCATCTGGGCTCAGGGCAGCCCCTACAGAGCAGGCAGCAGCAGCAGCAGGACAGGGGTAAGGGGCTGGGGTAGGCCACAACTCAGCATCACCTCCACAGGATAGTGGTCACTTGCAGCCAGGGCCTGTGGGGACACCAGATGCCTGGGTTTCCCTAAATGCTGGGAGGGCAGGGGAGGGGGCATAGGTACATTAGAGCTCAGGTGGTATTGGGTGCCCAGATGCCTGGGTTTCCTTACCTGCTCCTCTGTGAGCCTGAAGGCAGTGGCAAAGTTGAAAGCTTTAGCTGAGTTGGGGATGATGGCCTGGAGGCAGTGGTCACCATGGGCCACAATCCTAGGGGGTTGGGGGTGGGGTGAGAACCCAGGCATCTGGACTCCCTGCCTTGTCTGTCTACACTTAATTTGGGTGGGCATAATGGGCCACTACCTTAATCTGGATTAATTCCACCCCACCCCAACATGTACATGTGTGCTTAATCTAGATTAAATTGACCCAATGGGCTCACACCTTGATCTGTATTAACACCCACCCTGCCTAATTTTTACATGCTTAATCCATATTAATTCGTGTGTGTCCACACATGATCCAGATTTAGCCTAATGAGCTCATGTCCTGGTCTGGATTAATTCCCTTGTGCAAATGGGTTTAGTCCAGATTAAACCTCCTATGATGGGTAGGCAAACTCCCAGGTCTGGTCACAGTGCTAGCCCACCCACTTGTCTTTGAGCAAGCTGCCTGTTCTACTTTCCTGCCATGTCTTGTAAAATAATTAGGCTGTTAATTAGGCTGGAGGCTGCCCTTCAAGCACCCTGCTGTTCACAGGTGGTAAACACACAACTCCAACCTCTCCTTATCGTGTCCCATGCCTCTCAGATGTTTCTGTGAATTGTGCTATGCTCCAGCCGGGCCCAACTCAACACAATGTTAGGCCTCTCTCACGCTACGTTGTTCAGGGCCTCGCACATACATCACCCCTCCAACTGGGGCCTCTACCACTCTGCCTACTCTCACCAGGCTTTTCTCTCATGCCCCTTACCAGGCCACGTTCACCCTGCCCTGCTCCTTCGAGCAACCACATAGGCCATCAGGCTTATGTCTGCTCTCCTTGGCCAGCCCTGGCGCAGCCTTTTGGGCCTCTCCTGTGACGCTCATCTGTGCGGTGGCTAGGCAATTAACCAAACACTGGGCTAACTCCGCCCCTAGCCCCTCAACGGGTAACCCCCCCCCAGCCGATCTCCTATTGGAGTCAGTGACTTGCCCCTTTCTCATGTGGCTCTCTTTATGCCGCCTCAATCGTCCTCAGGCCGACATGCATGGAAAGCTTTGTGGACACCCTCCTGCCCCTTCCACGGGCAGAGGGAGACCCTGGTGCACCTGACCCTTGAGTGCACCAGGCTGCAGCCCCTCCACCTCCAGAACCTCCTCCTGAGGTTTTGGTTGAATTTCACCCCCCACCTTTTAGTTTTTGGGCACTCCATCCACTGCCCCACCAAGTCCCAGGACCTCCTGGTCAACCTTCTCCTGGCCTTGGCCAAGTGGGCCCTGTACTGGACCAGGAAGGAGGCTCTAGCCGGGAAGGTGCCCGGAGATGGTGGGGCCACTTTCCTCTCGCTTGTCTGTGCACATTTCCAGGCTGGGCACCAGTGGGCGGCATCCACCAGCTCCTTGGATGCCTTTGAGGGCTGGTGGGTGCAGCCCAGGGGGCTCTGCTTGGTGTCCCCTTCTAGAGAACTTACTTTCATATTTTGAACGTTTGATCCCTGCATCACCCCTATTCTGTTTTTGCTTTAGCTGTCCCAAGGATTTAGTTATGTTATTCATTCATTGGCCCCACACGATAGGGGCTAGTTAGTTGGGTGGGCCTTGGGCTCATGGCATTTGGGTAACGCAAATAAGCCCACATGCAGCCTCAGGCACCCAAAGGCTTACCTGGGTGTCTCTGCCCCTTTCCTCATGGGGCCTTAACATACTAGCCCCCTCTCTGGGGCTCCGGGGTCTTACACCCTCATGGCTTCAGGTGCCTCTCATGGGTGTGCCTGGCCCCACTACTCCCCGGGATCTTAAATTCCTACGGGCTCAGATACCACTCTCATGGGCGTGCCTGGCCCCACTACTCTCCAGGGTCTTACACCCCAATGGGCTCATCAAGTACCTCCTATGGGCGGGCATGCCTGGCCCCACTACCCACTCTGGGCTCAGGTGCCCCGCCCTGAGCATGCCTGGTCCTACTCCCTTCTGATGTTATAGCCCACCAAACTGGTGGGGCTGGGGTTTTAAGGCACCCCTCCTCAGCTTTCACTGGGGAGGTAATTGGTCTGGCATTTCTTGAGGACTCCCTTGCCATAAGGAGTCCCACCAGGCCTCCCTTCCCAGCAGGGTGCCGTTTTCAGTCATACCCAGGTCCAGGAGCCTTTAGCCATGAGCCAGGATTTTAAAATGGCCGCCTCATCAGGGCCAGCCTGTTTCTGTCTGCTGCCTGTTCTCCTCCTTAAAATGGTTCCGGGGGGAGACTTACCCTGCTGCTCACAGAGCAGGCTCACTAAGAGCCTGCAACAGCCCTTAAGTGGTAAGCACCCCATTGGTGCTCTGCCTCACCTCCCTACGTGCATCCATGTGATCCAGATTCACCCAGTGGATTTGTGGCTCTGATCCCCCCTTGTCTGTTCCTTTTCTGTATTAAGTCAAGTGAATGCCCTGATTTGGATTAATCCACCTGGTGTGTATGTCTGCACATAATCCAGATTAACTCAAGGTTGCTCCCTGGCGAATCCAGATTAATTTGAGGCCACCCCTCCCAAACCTGTCATAGGCACAGCGAGTGTTGTTATGCACAGTGGTGTCAGCACCATTGGGCAGCAGCCAGTGCAAAATTGGTGCCTGGCGCAATCAGATCTGGCCCCAGCGTGACACCGCCACATAGCCACAGCCTGCATTGAAATCCCCCAACAACAGTGTGTCCTGAGGGCAAGGGGTCAGGACACTTGGGTTCCATCCCTAGACCCTTTGAGTTCCCTTCCTGGCTCAGGGATCACTGGATTCCCTCTCCAATGTGGGGCCCAGATGCCTGGCTTCCCTTAGTTCCAGGGACACCTGGGTTCCATCCCTAGTGTGGGGCCCAGAGGCCTAGGTTCTATCCCTGGACACTTAGCTCAGGGACACCTGGCTTCCCTTCTCAATGCGGGGACCAGATATTTGGGTTTCCTCCACTGCAGGGCTCAGATAGCTGGGTTCTGTCCCTGGCTCAGGAGGGAGAGGTGGGGGACTGGTGGGTAAGAATGGGGTGAGTGCAGGAGCCCAGATGCCTGAGCTCTCCCCTGGCTCTAGGAGGCTAGTGGGATTAGAGCAGGAATTGGGGGGGGGCGGTGATTGATGGGGTTGTCCTGGACTCCTCAGTTCCATTTGGACTCAAGAAGGTTAGGGGGCCTGGACACCTGGGCCCCCAGCAGGGTCCCACCCTCACCTCGATGCCCCAGTGCTCCCGAGCCACCAGGAAGACATCGTAGCGGGCATCAATCTCTGCCTCTGCATTCTCAGGTGTTGTGTACTGGGGTATGAGCACCAGGGTTGGCAGGACTGGGGCAAGGGGGGGTGAGGGACACCAATGAGTCCCTCAAGCATCCAGGTGCCTGGACCCCCCGCTCTCACCTAGCCCACTCTCCCTTCCCAGAGAACATGGGCATCTGAGCTTCCAGTCCCCACTCCGAAGCAGAAAACCCAGGCTTCTGGGTTTCCCTCAACCCAGCAGGGAGGAAACCCAGGTTGTCTAGGTGAGGGGAGGGGGGAGATCTCACCCCGGCTGGGCAGGTGGAGGCGGACAATATGGGGCTCGCAGGCAAAGACATCAGGGCGCCCAGGGGCCAAGTCTGGGTATGTGAAAGCATCCAGGAGGCAGATCCGGGCTGGCCTGGAGTGGGCAAAGCAAGGACATGTTGGGGGAGTCCCGGGGGGGGGGTCTGGCTGCTCCTGGGGGTGGCACTCACTGGTAGAGGAAAACATACTGCTCCCAGTAGGTGCTGTGGCCCAGTGGCAGACTGCTCAGCGCCATGTAGGTCCCAGCACCCACGGACCTGTGGAAAGGGGGAGACACTGAGAAGCCAGGCTCCAGGCTCCCACTGCTCTCAACCCCTAGAGCCAGGTCCATGGCCAGGGAACCCAGGTGTCCCTGTCCAGGGCCTGAAGCAGGGTGGGCACAGTTGTACCCTTGGCATCTGTCACCTCCTGCAGGACCATCACATCACAGTGGGCCACAATTTGGAGAGGGTCAATTAGCATATTTTTGCATATTCAAATCCAGGACCCTACAATAATCCCTCTCTGCGCCTGCAGAAATCACCTGCCCCTGCCCAGTCAATGTGCATATAACATTCAACTAATATTTAAATCCTCAGATCACAACTACTCCCCTTGATATGCACATTCAACCCAGGCCCCAGATCTCCAGAACTCTACATAGTTTAACCCAGGGGTCCAGATCCTCTGAACCCCTCAAATCACAGCCCCTGCATCTGGCCATTATCTTACCATTTGCATATTTTAAATGGCCACTTATGTCCTAATAGACCCTGTTTGCATGTAATTAGCATGTTTACATTCTGGTCCCCTTATCTCCCAGCCCCGGACAGTCACAACCCCCACCGCCCACCTCTTAGCATGTCTTTTGCATATTCAAACCACCCCAGGTTTTTCCTGAACCCCCTGGCCGAGTTCAGTGGTTTTAAATTTTGCATATTTAAATGAAGACCCCCATTTCCTGAACCTCAGCCTACAACCTCATTCCTCGTGATTAGTATATCATTTCCGTACTGACATCCAGGCTTCCTCCATTTCCTACCCCTGGACTCTGGAGGCCCCTCCTGCGCTCGGATCCCCGCACCTGGACAAGGACATCTAAATGGGCTCCTGCTGGGCCTTGGCAGAACCGAAGCGCTGGGCGTTGAAGGCGCAGACCAGGATCAGGCTTCCCTCCGCCCGCACCCCCAACCCAGCCAGGAGCAGGGGCAGGGGGGGCGGCGTGCAGGCGGGGGGCCCCCATGGCGGGTGGGCAGGTGAGTGGCTGGGCACAAGGGTGAAGCCCAGGCGGACAGACACAGGCGCTGCTTTCAGGGGACAGACGGAAAGACCTGAGTCAGGCACGGGCAGACGGTGCCGGTAGCTCTGAAATGAGACACGGAGACCACTGTCCCCAGGAGCCCTCCCCAGACACCACGGTTCTTGCGGGGCACAGCAGGACGTTCCCCTCTCCGAGAGATTCACTTCCCCCGTGGGCTCTGGCTGCGGCTGCGCGTGCCTGGCTCACGTGCCAGCCTAGGAACTGTCAGCAGGATCGGGGCCCTGGGCTTAGCTGTGACCCTCAGCGGGCTTGTGTTCATGTGGCAGTGCCTCCTACGTACCTGGCTGGGGCAGCAGGACTGACATGGGGGGGCCCGACCTGCCCCCCTCCACAGACAGGAGGGAAGGGTGCGCAGGGGAGCTGAGGCGTGGCTGTGACGACCTCTCGCCGTGGTGTGACATCACTGCTATCCTGCTGTGTGACGCAATTGAGAGGCTGATGGGAGTCAGCTGCGATGTCACAGTGGGAATTGAAGGGGGTGATATCATCACACAACCGCCTCTCATTGTAATGTCGAAACAGAGTCCAGTGAGGCCAAGAGCACAGGGCTGTGATGTCTCGTGGCCACTGTAATGTCACCAGATGGGCTATATCACTGCGGGGGAAGGGGGGGGGGGTTGACGGTGATATCACCAACACCAGCTATAACATCAACCCCTGGTTAAAACGTCATCAACGCTCTCTACAATGATGACACAACCCCTACGAGTAAGAGTGCTTTTTGCTGATGACGTCAACAGGCTGTAGATGGAGCCGAGACATTCCTTCCGCCTCCGAGACCTCCATAGGCGTCAGAAATGGCTCTTCGTGCCAGATTCGCCCGCCTCTCTATGACTCTCTGTTCGACCTGGGCCAGCCCCGCTCTCTATGGTCACTGGCACTCCGCTTCGCCGCGTTTCGACGAGTCTAGGTCCTCCAACAGCCGCAGAGCGCCACCTTAGTTTACAACAGAAACGTATAGGAGGAAAGGGGCGGGGACGGTGGGGCGGCTACAGCGCCAGGGCTGGGCGTGCTTTACGGTAGCGGGGGTGGCATTTGCGACACCCCCTTGTGGCGGCGGCAATTGATGGCCTCCCCTCTTCCCGGGGAGGGGCGACCGATTTACTACAGCGGGAGGGCGCAGCTGGCGGAGCTTTACGGCCTCAAGGGGCAAGGTGGGGGGCGGGATCTGCAGTAGGGACCGGGGGCGGCTTTTGAAGAGGGGCAGGGGCTGGACCTGGACCTGGCCGTGACCCTTCGTGCGTCTTCTCCACAGGAGCATCATCACAGCCCCGGGGGGGCCAGAGCCCCTCCACCCCCATCCCCTCTGGCCCCTGGGCTGGGGCAATGCCTCTAGAGGTATCGTGGCCCTTCCCGCCGGCCCCCGGGCTGCCCTGGGCCCTGGCCAGCCGCCTCATCATGGGGCTGGTCGGCACATATAGCTGCTTATGGACGCGAGTATGCCACCCCC